CCCCAGCAAGGGATTTCTCACTTTCCCTCTTTCTGTCTCTCCCTGATAAGCACACGTACCCTATGACAAAAATCTTAGGGAAAAAAAAAAAAAAGAATAAAGGAAAAAGACACCTTCAGAAATACAGTCACAAGGCACATAACAATGTTTCAGTCACTGATGGACTGCATGTAAGATGGTAGTACTATAGATAATATAGTATACAGCCAAGGTGCATAGCAGGCTATTCCATCTAGGTATGATGTTCACCCTAATGCCTAAGTATGCATTTCTCAGAACCTACCACTGTCGTTAAGCAATGCATCTCTGTATATTAATTTCATTATCTATACTTAGCTAGTCATTTGTTTAATGTATGTATGGGGAAAAAGAATCCATTCTATAGCATTTCAATGAGGAAAGTTTTCCTTTACCCCTGAAAATAAATAATATTTATTTAAAAGTGCTTGACAAACAATAAAGAGCTATATAATCAAGAGATATTAAATACTAGAGAATAATATTAAGCCTCAAAGAGGAAAGTTCACATAAACAATATAGTTTTAGGCTTACCATGCTTCATATGTTCTTATTTTAAAATTTATGCAAAAATTTAACATGGTTGAGACTACTGGTCATACTAGTTCATGGTGATGAAAAAAGACTAGTTGTAGTTACTTATTAAACCAATCCCCTAATTTAAGTTCCTTTAAAGAAAAACCAGTGTACAGGCTTACTGGAACATGTTGATGCTCACAACTACCAGACAGAATTTTACTTATCAAATTCTCAGTTACTTCAAAGCCAAAGAACCTCTTCACATTTATAAACCCCAAGGTGCATAATAACAAATTCATTGATGTTAAGCAAGAGGAATAAAGGAGACATATTAGTTTCCTAGGTCTGCCATAACAAATTATCACAAATAGGCTTAAAACAATAGAAATGTATTCTCTCACAGTTCTGGAGGCCAGATGTCAGAAATCAAGGTGTCAGTAGGGCCATGTTGTCTCTGAGAGCTCTACAGGACAATCTGTTACATGTCTCTTTTAGCTTGTGGTATTGCAGGCTATCCTTAGCATATATTCTGGCTTATAAATTCCAATCTCTACCTCCATCATCACACAGTGTTCTCTCTGTGTCTGTTTCTCTTTGGTTCTTCTATAAAGTACACCAGTCAAATTAATTGCCAATCCTAATAATCTCGTATTAACTTAATTACTTCTGCAAACAACCTATTTCCAAATACAGTCACATTCACGGGTACAAAAGGGGCTAGGACTTCAACATATCTTTTGGGGGAACACAATCCAATAGGTATCAGTTGCAAGGACAGTAAAGATCATACCTTCAAAGTTTTATATGATGACATCCTACTGCTACCAATCCTTTTAAGGTCACAGAGGATTTAGAAGCCATAGCTATTGACAAATTAGTTCCTGGGCTAAAAATTGTATGACAGATGAATCCTTAATAGAAGCTGAGCCTGGCAACTGGCACAATAAGCTACATGCTAATTAAAGAGAACAGTTAAAATCTTGAGTTTCTTCTCAAAGTATTCAAAGTATGTTTCCCTTTTTTTTTCTGTTTTTGACATTAAAAAAAAAAACTACCTCTTATCTTAATTGAATTTTTGTTATCTTTTTAAGATTATCAATATTTTTTCCCATGAGCCAGGGAGATGAGAGAGAGACACACCAAAAAGAGAAAGAGACAGAGAAATAGGATCCCCAACAGGGTCTTAATGCCACAATCAACCCCAACCCTCAGTCACTCCTAGATCATGGACACTTCTGTGCCTGGCATACTTAGGGAGGTCTCTGGCTGCAAACCTGGAACCTCCTCATGGGGGTCAGCCTAACAGAGCCCAGTTTTACTGCTGCTATGTTGGTGGTTCGGCTTCATATATTAGTTGGTTTTAGCCTATTTCCCACTTGTAGTTGAGTTTTATCCTTCCATCTTTGAAATTCATATGCTGAAATCCTCATCCCATACTAAGTATATCTGAGGATAGCGCCTTAAATAGGTAATTAAAGTAAAATAAAGCCATATGGGTGGATTTTAATCCAGTAAGATTGGTTTCTTTATAAAAAGAAGAGATCAGGAGACAACATACAGAGAAAAGACTCTGCAAGGAGATAAGGAGAAGATGGCCATCAATCTACAAGCCAATGTGAGAGGCCTTCAGAAGTATCAACTCTGCCAACCCCTTAACTCAGACTTCTAGCCTCCAGGAATAAAAAGAAATAAAATTCTGTTGGTTAAGCCACCTACTCTTTGATAAAATTAGTTGACTAACAACCAAGTAGGATATTCATAAATTTATGTTCCTCCTTAAATAAAAATCATTTTCTAGAAAATGAAATATATAGAGAAGTTTTTGTTACAGGGAGCATGCACTTGCCAGACAGAGAGAAAATGTGAGGAATCACCCCCTGGGGAGACGGCTATGCCACAATCCCTTCTCCAGTCTCCTCTCAGGATCTGGGGCGCACATGCACCCATGCCTGGCATGATTTCCGAGCCGCCAGGTCTGGGATGCCAACCACACAGCTAGCCACATGGGATCCAGTGGCTTAACTTCCATACCACTTGCTGGTCTTACATATGTGTTTAGTATGAACAAATGTCATTTTATTGACATTTGAAAATCTCAATTTTATTTAACTTTGACCAACATCCAAACAACAAAGCCCAAGTGTGTCTCGTCTCCAGATGTATGTTGAGCAGCCAGCACCAAAAGGTTTATGACAGTCATAATTATCTACAGAATAAGTGGGGAGAGGTAGACAAAGCTGTTTTAACATGTAAGAGACATGAAACAGCAAGGATGACATGACTTTTAGAGAAAATTTTCTGGAAATTGAAAATCAACACTAAAGCAGTAAAGCTGCTTGCTGGAGTACACAGAATTAAACCAAAACATGAGACCCCAATTCCTGTATTTTTTCCATAAACACCATACAAGTAAAATCACATCAAAATATATCCATATTTTGGGGCTACACAAAAATGTGAATGCACTTAACACTATTTAACAGTATTTTCTTTTAAATTAATTATCAGTCTGATAGTTATTATAACTATTCTCTTGTTTTTTGTTTTCTCATTTCATTTTTTTTTTAAATTCAACTAGAGAAAGAAAAAGGAAAGTGAAAAAACAAGCCACCAGATCTGAGAATCAAACTGCAGTCAGCTCTGAAGGAGTCCAGCACCTTAACTAATACACTACCTGCTGGCCCCAAAACTATTCATCTTAAAAATCTGAGAAATATGGGATCAGCATTTAGCATAATGCTTATGTCGCTAAACTCCCATGTAGTTGACTGCAGTTCAAGTCCCGGACCTGGTGGTTTAAACTCACGCCAGGTGCGTGTGTGTGCGTGCCCAAGATCCCGAGAGGAGAATGGAGGAGAAGGGATTGCGGCGTGACCATCCCCCCTGGGGGCTGATTTCCTGCTTTCTGTCTCTTTCTGGAGAGTTCACACACCCCTATAGCAAAAAACTCTCAAAAAAAAAAAAAATCAGAGAAATATAGTACAGATTTCCTCATAAAACAAGAGTTAGAGGGACCTAAGGTTACTACTACAAACATCAAGCTGTTCCATTTTCTGCTTAATTATCAAGTACTTAGTAAATACTATGTTCAAAACCATCACCAATCATCTCTGTATTGTGAATTAGTTTGTGATTACATTTATTTCTCCTTAGATCCCTAACTCTTCATTCTCTAGGTTGCTTTTTTATCCTTTGTCATATTCTGAATACTATTTCCACTAACCCACAGCTCTCACTCCATAAACTACCTTGAGGATCAACACAACAACCTAGGGTAAAGACCTAGCTCTTGGGTTGCCTTCCTTCACTCTGAGTCTGCACTTCTCTACTATAATAGCTCTCCCAGTCCCTCCTTACAGATTGTCAAGAAGTTCCCATCGTAAGTTCAGACATTAAAAAAGTGGGAATTCACTAGAAAAACATAGTACCTACTTAAGAAATTAAATCAACTTTTCTTTACAAATTTTAAATAAGAGACAAGTATTTCTCTTCTGGTTCTCCTAGAACATTAAACATTCAGAAACTCTCTTCGAACTTTTTAAAGTGCCTTTAATTCTAATTGCATAAATATGACATATGTATATATACACACAATACATGCACACATAAATAAAATTTAAAAACGTATCTCAGGGGGAGAGAACATTTTTTTTTTCAGAGGTTTTTCTTATAGGGCGCGTACGCTCGCCAGACAGACAGAGAGAGACAGAGAGACAGAAAGCATCACCCCCCAGAGGGGATGGCCACGCCGCAATCCCTTCTCCTCCATTCTCCTCTTGGGA